CATGTGATGGGGCGGCCCGGGGCAGGTGTCCCTGGGTTCTGCCTGCTCGTGTCCGCTGTGGTCTATTCTTAGCCCTTGACACAAGGTGTTGGCCTGGAGAAGGGGGAACTCCTACTGTGGTCCGTCTGCTGCCCTCAGGAGCTTCCATTAATAGCACTCGCAATGTTTGGCTCCAGAACAGAGCTGCCAGCCACCACAGGAAAGGCACAGGGAGCAAGAAGAAGCAGATGGTGCCTGGGGGGGAGGGGTGGTCAAGTAAGGCAGACAGAACCAGGTGGGCAGGGGAGAAGCTGTGACTGGACCAAGGCAGTGTCTTTTGGTATTTGGCCAATAGCACTAGATGCAGCGTTCTGAGCAACAAATGAAGCCTTTAGGACAGCTAAGGATGCGCGAAAGCGAGGCTGTGCGGTACAACTGCAAGAGTGAAAGGAAGCATCTCCTTTTCCCAGGGAGGGGCCTAGGGAGAGTCTCTGCGAGGGCAGAGTTGTTTTTTGTCATTTATACTGTTTTGAAGTTGGGACAGGCACACATTCATTTAGCATGATCAGAGACCCTCCTCTTGCAAGCTTAGGGGATTATTACCTGTGATTGGCTGGCCATTGCTATTTCTGTGCTCTGGAGACTGAACTTAGATGAGAGTGGAATGTTGCTTCTATGACAGTGGCCAGTGTGGGGCAAAGAGAAAAGAACACGGACTTAGATCCAGAGGAAGCTCCCGTGGAGTTTGTCTGACCCGGGAGGATGCTCACTCCCTACAGGAGGCCTGTGCTGCAGGGTCCTTCACCAGGAAATGCTGGAGAGCCAGGGCTGTGGACCGGCTCCCTGCGAAGCTGGCCCAGCTCCCCAGGGGTCCCCCCATCTCCTCCCCCTTTACCTGTGCATGGTCTTTTCCAAGGCTCCCTGGAGCACCTCTAGACCTCCCCGGAAGTTTCTTTGTCCACATGGGGAATGTCATTCAGATCTCGGTGAAAGGGCAATGGGCTGTCTTCCCTTGACACCCTCCAAACTTATATCCCTATCCCCCCAAAGCAAATCTGGTACTGTTTATATATATATATATATATATATTTTTTTTTTTTCTCTAGTTTGGCCAAAAAAAGAAAGAAAGAAAGAAAGAAAGAAAGACAAAAAAAAAAGTGCCACTCTCTGGTTCATATGAGAACTAACTTACTCTCCCATCAAAGAAAGCCAGGAACAGGAGGGTGTAGAAGCCACGGGATACACCCTAGCCTCGCTCTTTTAGCATTGGACACCCTTTCCTCCATGCTATAGGCCCTGAGCCTGCACACTCACATCCTCTGTCCCCAGGCAATGGATAGAGAACACTTTGCTCAAGTCTGGAAGCATTAAGTCGTCTGTGGGAGGAGTTGCACAGGGAGGGGAAGCAATGTCAATCAGCACATCACAACGTGAGGGGACTGTAGATGTGTGTGAGGAAGAAGAGCCTCAGCTATCTGGAGCTGCTCCAGAGGAGGTTGGCATCAGACACCTTTTCCTGGGTTCCTATGGCCTCGCGGTGACGGGAGTTGTGAAACGGGAGGAAGAATAGAGAACATGATAAAATTTGACGTTTTTAAAAACCTGGAACTTTTCTCTTCAGGAATCAGGCTTGTGCCTGTGGCATGAGATGCCACTCAGCCAGTAGAATCACCCTCATGGTCAAACAGGATCTGTTTTTAGCCATCATGGGACTTGGGTGGCTGTTGAGGGGCCACAGGGATTACTGAGAACTGGGTGACTTTGTGCATGGGGAGCTGGGGTGTCGGGATCTCCAGGCCACCAGAAAATGCTGTCTTCCCCGACAGAGGCCAGGTCCCAGCAGTGGCATATGTAAATCAAGAGAGGTGGGACCTGTCCTGTTCTGGATCCCCATGTGCTTAGGGTGTGCATGTTCCCCACAGGCTCCCTGGTTCCTGTCTTTTGGGGACAAGTCTGAACCTGAAGTGCAAGGAGACACCTTCTGGAGAGACAGAGCAAAGGAATGTCTGAGAAGAGAAACTCTGGGGCAAGTGAGGACAGCTGGGCCGATCTGGTGGACTTAGACTCTCTTCGCTCCCCTCATTGCAAGACGCGAAGCTTCTGCCTGGGATGTCACAGGCTGTGACAATGAGCTCAGGGAATATCACACCAAAGTTATCTAAGCAAGTTGAGGTTTCTTTCCTGCAGAGGCCCCGGGAGGGGGCAGACCCAGCTGGGCAGGGAGGCGGAGCTAGCACGAACGATGGGGTGACAGGACCTTCTTCCTTAGGACAGAAGGCCAAATATTCTATACAGTTAAAGGGATGAATATGGGTGTTTGTGGGCATATTTAATGGGGGCAATAAGGACAGAAAGGATAGAGCATATTTTTTTAATAGTTCCTGGTACCAACAGGCTTATTTCATACCAGAGCTAAGGTTAAGAGTTGATTATTTGTCATCAGGGGGTCTTGGGAAAGAAATGGGTCAGAGGTTTCATCTTAAAAACACTGTGGGGGATCCAATGGGAGGCAGCTGGGGCAGAATGGGCTGGACCTTGTCAGCCCATAAAAAGGAGGTCATCACGGACCCAGGCAAGTGGCAAACTAAAAGTAGATTTCTAGGGGACAAGGCCACCATATCTCATGGGGTGCAGGGCTCTTAAGGATCTGGGCTTTCAGGACCTAAGTCACCCCCGCAGGGAGACTGTCTTCCGGGTGGGCTCAAAGCACAGAATGGGTATGCACTCCTGCAGGAGGCTCAGGGCCAAGAGCCAGCCACCCTCTGGAGGGGAAGGGTGCTGGGCAGGAGGAGATCCCGGGGAGTCGATGCGTGGATCAAGCAGGAAGCCGTTTTCCTGGGACTGGAAGGCAGGGACTTGGGGAAGATAACGTGGAGACGGAGGAAACCTCGCGCTGGTCATGGTCTCTGCTTCCCTCGCTCCCTCCGTGCCCCACCCTCGGCTCACTTCTCTTCCTTTTCCTGTCTCAGCACAACTGGCTTCCCCGCTGTGGCCCACAGATGCACATCTTTAATTGCATCATGGGGGAAGTATTGGCATGATGGAAGTTTCCGGAGAGGGCCTGGGAATGCCATGGCAGGGAGACTCACAGAGCCCCGTCCAACAGAGGCTGAAATCAAGGAAATGTGAAATGTCTGTGGCCTCCTCCTTGGTCCCAGGGCCTAATGCTTCCCTGAGCTGGAAGCTGTCCTCCCAACTTGGGATGCTCCAGGGCGACATCCCCAGTTTCCTCTCTAAGTTTCGTGTAAACATAAACACGCACACACACACACACACACGCACACACACACACAAGTGTGCTAAACGCGGAGTGGCAGAAGAGGTGGCAAATCAGACCTATGACGGGGAAATAAAGAGGAAATGTATCTAAGAATAGACAGACAAGCTGAAGTGGCAGAGGTCCCAGGAGGTGTGTGAGGACAGCCCCAGCGACCTGCTCCAGGGGTCCACAGAGCCCCAGACCTGGGGCAGACAAGAGCCGGGACCCAGCCAGCCAAAGGGAAAGAGCCTCGCCAATGGCCTCACCTTCCAGCCTCAGCAGAGTACGCAGTGGGCCTCAGCAGTGAGCAGAATGACAAGGACAGCCCAGAAGGACATCACCTCTGCCAGGGCCAGGCACCCAGGCAGAGGCGGCCGCGGGCCCGGCCGGTCTTCACCACAGCCCGAGTGTGCCGTCTGTCTTGCTTCCTAGAGTGGGGACCAGGGAGGACCCCGGGGGACACTGTGTTAGGGAGGCGTGAGGACACGCTGCAAAGTTAAGCGATAATACATGAGACGGAGGCGGGGCCAACCAAGGAGGGGGCATTTGGTTTCACAATTGATTAATCCATACATATATATATATATATATATATATATGTATATGCATATATATGTCCATACAATTTAGATAAACACGGAGGGTGAGAATGAGAAGCCTCTTTTAATCATAATTTTAAAAAGACAACTCCACAAACAAAAAAAATTCCTCAGTTTTGAACTTCTCTTAAGTATAGTTCAATGTGAGGTCTTGCACCCTAACCAGTTATATCTGGATTTTTAAAAAAATGCAATTACACACAACAAAGACTAACAGTATTTACTTAAAATATTGTGTGTATGTGTGTATATACACACAAATATATATACACATACACATGTATATACTTATATATATATCTTTTTTGTGAAGATATTTTTCTTTTCCTTTTTTTTTTTTTTGTGCCCAAGTAGAGATACAATGGTATTTGAAATGATGCCCCAGAACAGAAATAGTCCTTAAAGGAATAACAGTTCAAAAATAAAAATTGTACAAATGGTTGAACATACTTGCAACACCTCCAGAAATCAACTCAATACAATGAGAAAATCAATAGTTGATTTAAATTCTCACCCAAATAACACGACCTCGCATACCAGCCTTTGCAGCTAGTGGAGGCCGCTCTCCAGAGAGGGGCCTCCACACAGGCAGCCTCCTGCCACCCCTGGAGCTGCCCTCCAAAGTCACAACAGCATCTGCTTCACATTAGCTTTGCGTATTTCTGGCAAGACCTTGCAACAGGGACACACACACACACACACGTGCTATGGGCACACACACACACACACACACACACACACACAAAACACACAAATTTCCCATGCAACCCAGATGCACCAGGTGAGCTGAATGATTTTCAGCCAACCACAATGACAGAAGCACCAAACAGTCTTTGAAATGGGTCAGTTATTACAATTTGATTTTTTATGTATGTATATATATATATATATGCATATATATACACACACACACATATATATATGTTCTAGTTTTCCTCTTTGTGTTATGTTTTAAAAAAAAAGAATAGAAAAAGAAAAAAGCACAAATGAAAAATGAATAATTCTTTCCAGATCAGTTTAAGGCTTCCCACTGAATGGAAACAGAAGAGGCCTTACACACTGTCGCATGGGGTGAATGCGCACCGTTCTCAGCCTTAAAGTGATGGAAGAGATCAGTTTGCCAGTCACGGGTTAAGTATTGTGCCTTTAAGTTGATGTCGTTCTTTTTGCTACTATGCTGAGTTTTATTATTACTGGTTGTTTTTGATGGCGTATATGGAAGTCTCCTCTGATTTGCTTTAGAATTTCTTGACCTTACTACATTAGTAGGGTGGCTTTTTGTTTTGTTCTGTTTTGCTTTTCACCGGGAAACAAATGCATCTTGCTAGGTGAATGCTAAAATGGCACATAGTCAGCCTTCAAGCAGCTTTTCTAGCCATTTGAGACCCAAACGGCTCTTGGGCTCCTAGAAGGCTCAGTGAAGTGCGGCAGGGACGGGAGAGTAGCGGGAGAAACCGAACGGAGGGAGGGGTTTCTATGCCTTTGCTTTTGGTAAATTTGTTTTCCTCAATACAAATAATCAGATAGATAGGAAGAATGGTTGCTTTGTATTGTTGGATTTGTTTGTTTGTTTGTTTGTTTCATTTGTAGATTTGTTTCATTTGATTGTTGAATTTCTCCTCTCCTGGTGCAAAAGTCACCAGAGAGTTTTGCGTGAGAAAACGTGACAGTACTTAATGAAACTCAGCACCTAAGGGCATAAGGCAGTTGAAGGTTGTTTATTTGTTTGTTTGTTTGTGTTTTTTTGTTTTGTTTTGTTTTGTTCTTTCAATCAGCACCAATCCCGGAAATGATCTACGCTTGGTGTAAGGTATAAAACTTTTTTTTCTTTTGGAGCAGAGGCCACGCCTCCTCCTCCACCCCAGGAATCATAGTGTGGGATTTTTCAATACTGTTTCTTATGTGTAAAAAACAAAAGAAAGGTTTTCTTTTTGTTTTTACTTACAAAACATAGAGAATATCTTTGTATACATACGGCGACTGGAAAGAAAGCTTATCTGAAGGGGACGTGACTTAATTCTGTGGTGGTGGTGGTGGTGGTGGTGGTGGTGGTGGTGTGTGGTGGTTCTGTGTGTTGGGGGAAGGGAGGGTTATATTTCTTGCAGGCGGCATTGACCGCAGACCAAACTTAAGGTCCCCTTCTCAACTTGGGTCAAGGTGCCCTTAGAGTGAAGACTCGTACTGTAGCAACTCATAGAGGAGTGGCCCGTCCCGATAGCGAATGCCCACTGCCGTGGGTGTGACATACTGTAGGATGTTAATAGTCCTTCTCAGCCTCCTGTCCACAAAGTGAGCATCCCAAGCTGGGTACCTCTTTCTTGGCATGTCAATCTTAATGAGGGGCCCTTCTGGGTGGTAAGGACGCCCCGACGGGGTAGCGGGCCCCATGGGTCTCACTTGGAAAACGGGCAAGCAAGTGTCAGCCGTGAGATCCTCCTGTTGTTCCGTCACGGCTCTGGTGGGCGTGACCTGGGTCCCCCGGTACCCAGGGGTCTGAGGCGCCATGGGCTCAACATCGGGGGGCAAAGGGATGCCCCAGAGCAGCTCGGCACAACAGGAGCTGGCAAAGACCTTAGCCCGTGGCCCCATGGGATGCAGCACGCCATAGTATAAGAGCATCAGTGCGATCCCAGCCACAAAACTCACAAAGACACAACACAGTGCTGGCACCGCGTAGGAGTCAGTGGTCTCCGGGTTTCTGTAAAAATACCAAAGGAACGTCAAGGCAGCATTCTCGGTCAAGACTATCGTATAATATGCAAACATTCGATATCGAGTCCGCCCTTCCTTGACGTTAAACCAGCAGAAAATGTACACAATCCCTACCACCATGTTGAAGAGGATCTCCTCCCACTTGGACATGCAGAAGTCTGTCCCGCCATGGATGATCCAGAAGGCCATGGCGCACCAGTGCACCACCACGAAGATCCCGAAGTAGAGCTGGAAGATGGAAGCAAAGAGGGCAAAAGAGATAACTCGGGATGAGATGGTGAAGAGGCGCCAGAAGAGGTGGACGAGGGCCCCTCTGTAGCTCATGCTCTTCTTGTCGTCCCTGGAGTCCCGCAGCAGCTTGTGATAGGAGGCTAGCACCCAAGCCAGGGACATCAGGGAGGTCACAGAGGAGACACCTGCCGGAAAGACACAAACCCACACAGTCAAAACCTCGACATCAACCGCGGGGCACAGCGGGGCTGCCGGCAGAGGAGACGCCCACACACACCGTGATCTAAAGGAGGAGGGAGAAAGAAACACAGAGTCAGGAACCGGACTTGGAGCCCCCGCTGCTCCCTACGCTCACAGCCTGGGGTCGACCTTGAGTCTCCACAGCCCAGCTTGGAATTTCAGGAGCTCCGCTGCTCAGCTGTGAAGCCAAGGCTGGAGCCCTTGGCCACACCTGCCGTGGACGGGCTTGCCTGCCTGTGTTCTACCTTAGGGGACCCCGTGGCGTGTGAACATGCAGCCAGCACTGGCGAATCTGTCCCCAGCAGCCTGTGCTCACAGAGGGCCAACTGTGGAGACCGACGGCCAACTCCCTGGCCCCAGCTCCTCAAGTGCTCTCCTCTGCCAACCTGAACTCACCCTTGTGCCCTTTCCTCTCCCAACTCCAGGTTCCACAAAGCCCCTTCCTGAAACTCGGTCCACTTGGCTTCTCCCCATCTACTACCTAGGGCCACCCTGGTCAAGGACGCTGCTCAGCAGCCCCCTCTGCCCTTCCTTCTGGTCTGTCCTGGCCTCTGCACATCAACTGTGCTGCACCTCCTACTTCAGGGCAGCCTCTGCCCTCACTGGTGGGGAAGTTCCCAAGGTCTCTGTGCTTCCTGCACTTACCCCAGGGGACAAAGATTCAGAGAGGTGGAACGGGCCTCACTCCAAGGGGTACTCTGGCTGCCTGCAAAGTTTTACTTCTTACTCTGCCTCCTTGATATTTGCAACTAAGTCAAATGGAAAACCGGCCGCGGCTGCTGGACTCTCAGATTCACCGTGAACAAGCGGTCATTAGCACAGTATCATCAAATAATCTCCTCTCAAGCCAGATTCTGTTACCCCCTGACTCCTCCTGTCCAGCTCCACTCAGTCCACCTAGTACCTCCTTTTGCCTAAAATTTCAGAACAAAATGCAGTCGGAGACCTGAATGTCCACCCATTGGCAACAATCTCCTTACCAAATTTTCTACTCCTACCCCACCCCAGAGCATGACTCCCCATGACATTCTTCCAGGCTAAAATAAGATACCCGAACATTTTTTTTTTCTTAAGCCAAAAGAACGAATCCAGGAGCCTTGTACACCCAGAGGCCAATTAAGCTGCTGCAGATCCTCCTCATCCTGCTCTTTCCCTGGGTCCCTGCCCACTTCCCTTCAATGATCCAAACTGCAAAACTCAAAGAAGAATCAAAGTCCTGCCACTGAACAGCCCCATGGTAGAAGCCCCCTCCTTCCCTCATCTCACATGGGTGCTCAGGATCTGAGCTTGCAGAACACTGTGGTGCAACCCAGCATGTTGGCACAGGCATGGCAAACACCCGGGCAGTCGGCAGTTACAGTGAGCATGTGTGGCTTTTGTAATAACAAGCAAGATTCCAAACAAACAGCACAGATGAGAAATCATGCCAGTTTTTCCACAAAAACCAATCTGGAATATACCTTAGGAGCTGTGATGGTGCTTCCCCCTGCTTCTCTGGAAAGTTCTGAATGTGACACTTACATGTCCCTCCTTGCTCATGGTGCACACAGGTACTTTCAGCTGCATCTCAGAGGCCACGCATGGCTCCTGGGCTGAGCTTTTGGAGCCCACTATCAGGTTGGGACAGAGAGCGGGACAGGTCCTCCTGGGCACCCCGGATTTAGGTTGTGGGTTTCTGGAGCAGGGCACACACAGTCACATCTTGGTAGCCTGCACTAGCCTTGTCCCCATACTGGAAAACTCTCAGGAAGTTCCTCTAAAACGTCCTGTGTCCCCACCGCTGTCAGGCCAAGCTCATTTTTTGATGTTAATAGTAATGCATCTGGTAGGAGCTGCCACCCCACGGAAGTGGAACGAGAAGAAGGCACGATTTGGGCTTCCTTCAAATAAAGCAAAATCTATTATTGCCCCTATCACTTTCCACTCAGGGAAACATGAGTGCTGAACTCATAAAACAGGAAAACCCAGCTGTGCCAGAGCAGGTCTAATGAGGTCCAGTTCTGAGCGTGCTTTTCAATAGGGTAGGGTACTAGAGGGGGGCAGCCCTCAGCCTTCGCTGGTCCCTGTGTGTTGACATTAGCCCCATTTGTGCCAAACATACACAGATAGGAACTCAAATGTTCATGGATCACCAGTAGCAGAGCCAAAGACAGTTCTTTTCACCTCCCGCCTTCCACGTCACCCTTGCCAGGCTGGCTCCGTCACCGTGGCCTTGAAGACTGCTCTGGGTCTTTACGTGTGGGTCACCTAGCCCATTCCCGCCCCAGCTGGCTTCTGGTAGAGGCTTCTGTCCTCCTCTGCAGAGTGCTGACACAAACGGTTCCCGAATGCTGTGACTCCCCACTGCCAAATTACGGGAGGGCTTAGGAAGCAGCACAGGGAAGACTGGGATGCAGAGCCCTGGGGCAAGCCCCTGCCCAGCCTCTGCCTCACCTGTTCCTGACCTGGTAACATTGGTAGTCGCCCCACAATGTACCCAAGGGAGCTTCCCAAGCCACACACCCGCTCACTCCACAGGAAGCCGAGTATGGGGTTTGGGTGAGCAGTTGGGGCTCCAGGGGGTTCATGCCCACACAGAGCCTGCCCCTCTCTGCCGGCAGCAGGCATCATGTAAGGAGAGGGTTGGCTGCGGGTGGCCCAAACCCTCACCCCAGCCGCTTCCTAATTCACCACCGCACCAAAGAACTTTCCATTCTAACTGTCCATCCCAGGCAGGAGACCAGAAAACCAGAGCCGCCCGAGGTCCCCTTCAGAAATTAGGTTTCTCACTCATTGGAGGCTCACCGGAGAGTGGCTTTGCCTCTGGGGGCTCAAGAAGCAGGGATGTGGGGGTCAAACTGCCCTGTCTTCTGCCCGCCCCAAAGAACTTATCACGTGCTATTTGGTCGCTGGACCAAACATCCGTGGCTTGGCCACTTCTGCATCTTTTCCCAGGGCAAGACCTGTGGCCTCACCCAAACAGGACCACAAGAGCAAGTCCTCCCTGGAGGCCACCACAGGAGGGTGCCTGGGTAGCCGGCCACCTGGGGGACTCATTGGGGCAGAGCTGGATGAGAATGGAGGGGCAGCAGGTGGGCTCTGTGCTCTGAAACCCCCCGTGGGTGCCCCGCTGTCCCAGACAGCCCAGGCCCGACCCCCTGAGTAGTCACCGCAGGGTCTTGTCTAGCAGCACCCCACGGAAGATGAACGGGTGACGGGCCAAACTGCATCGCCCCCAGATGTCTGTGCTGAGGAGCGGAGCCCCAGTACCTCGGCACGTGGAGGTGGGGTCTTTACAAAGTAGTTAAGGTAAAACGAGGTCACACAGGGGCCCTGAGCCGATCTTTCTGGTGTCCTTAGAAGAGGAAGTTTGGACACACAGAGGCACCAAGGTCACGTAAGCGCAGGGCACGTGAGGACACAGCGGAGGCCACACGGGCGGGGGGAGGAAAACCTCAGGAGAAACCAGCCCCCCAGACCCCCTGACCCGGTCTTCAGCCTCCAGAACGGATGTCTGTGGGCCCAGCACCAGGTCGGGGTACTTTCTGGCGATGGCTCTAGGAAACTGAAGTAGTTCTCTATTTAATTTCATTTTCTACATAAAGATAGTTAAGAAAAGAATTCTTAAATTTTTAAAAGCTCCTGAATTTAAAATTCTTACATTTAAAAATTTCAAAATCATACACCTACCAAGAGAGAGAAGCAGGATTTAAAGTTACAGTCCCACTCTGGTGGCCTTGAGAGTGACCACTGTGCTTCGTGACTGGCCAGGTGAGGGTGAGGAAGAAAGCCCCCAGGGATCTGAGTCTCACAGGGGTGGCCAGGAAGAGTAGCAGCCGGGGAAATCTGTTGAGAGCTCTTGATTATTGAGCTAAAATCCAAATTTGAGTTCTACCAGGGCTTCCTCAGTAGAGTAACACGAAAACCACAAAAAAGAGGGAACTTCCACTGAACGGCTGTGATCACTTTCCCACCATTAAATGATGAGTCCTCTCAGGCCCGCAGTGTGCTCCGTTACACGGGAGGAAGGACAGCTTCTTCCTCTGCAATGGCTCACCCGGAAGATCTCTGTCTTGCCCAAGGTCAACCCCAAAGTCCTTGCATTCTCCCCCACACCACCCAGTCCCCCAGGACGGCCGCCGAGGTCCAGGTGAAATGCCTGGGGCCCGCCACTCACAGTGCCACCACTTGTGCATTTCCAGGACCAGACAGAAAACTGTTCCAGGCGTCAAGTTAGGAGGTGACAAGCTCTGCACAGTGACCATCACAGCTGACCCTCTCCCTGGTGCAGACCGGCAGCTAGGGCTTACGGCTTGCCCACCAAGCTGACCAAGACCAACAAGCCAACTGGCGAATTGTTAAGCTGGCGCCTCCTGGGGGACAAGTACCTTTGGAAGGCTTAGAGAGAAGGGCTTCAGGCCTCAGGTTCCATAAATGTAGTGACCCTGTGGCCCCCCAAGTGGAGCAAGAGACAGTCATCAGGAAGGTCCAACGTGGTGGTCTCAATGCCACCTTTACAGGCCCCTAGCAGTTGCACCTTTGCCCCTAGAGGAGTAGGGAAGATGGGACTCAAAGCCAGCTGCAGCAGATGAGGAGGAAGGGTAAGGACGTGCCAGGCAGAGGAGGGTCAGGGGCGGCAGGGTACCAGGCCAGCAGGGCAAGGTGGGAAGGCAGATCTGGCAAGACCAGCACAGGGCCAGGCTGCCATCCAGGGTGGCCCAGCTAGCTGCCCCAACCCATCAGCAAATGGGAGCCCTGAGGCTCCTCCAGAGAGGGTCAGGAGGAAAGGGGTGACCAGAGCTCCCTGTGAGAACTTGCCATCCGGTAGAAGGGACACTGTGAGCCACGGGCAACTGGAGCAGTGTCCCTTCTATCGGATGGCAACTGGAGCACTGAAGATGGCCAGTGAGCTGGCTCTGAGGGAGTCCAGGGGCAGCTCTGGGGCTGGGTTTGAAGAGCCGGATGT